CCCGGTGTGCTCCCGGTGTGCTGCCGGTGTGTTCCCGGTGTGCTCCCGGTGTGCTGCCGGTGTGTTCCCGGTGTGCTCCCGGTGTGCTCCCGGTGTTCCCGGTGTGCTGCCGGTGTGCTCCCGGTGTCCCGGTGTCCCGGTGCTGATTCCCGGTGTTCCCGGTGCTGATTCCCGGTGTCCCGGTGCTGATTCCCGGTGTCCCGGCCGGGCGATGCCGCTGCCCGTGGCTCTCCAGTCCCGCCTGGCCAAGCGGGGGCTGCTCAAGCACGTGGAGCCCGGTGAGAACGGGGGGTCCTGGGGCGGGGCCGGGGGCTGTGAGGGCGGGGCTGGGCGGGGCTGGGCAGGGCTGGGCGGGGCGCTGGGGTGACACTGGGTGTGGCACTGGGTGTGACACTGGGTGTGACACTGGGTGTGGCACTGGGTGTGGCACTGGGTGTGACACTGGGCACTGGGTGTGGCACTGGGTGTGACGCTGGGTGTGACGCTGGGTGTGACACTGGGTGTGACACCAGGTGTGACGCTGGGTGTGGCACCGGGTGTGGCACTGGGTGTGACGCTGGGTGTGACGCTGGGTGTGACGCTGGGTGTGACGCTGGGTGTGACGCTGGGTGTGACGCTGGGTGTGACGCTGGGTGTGACGCTGGGTGTGACGCTGGGTGTGACGCTGGGTGTGACGCTGGGTGTGACGCTGGGTGTGACGCTGGGTGTGACGCTGGGTGTGACGCTGGGTGTGACGCTGGGTGTGACGCTGGGTGTGACGCTGGGTGTGACGCTGGGTGTGACGCTGGGTGTGACGCTGGGTGTGACGCTGGGTGTGACGCTGGGTGTGACGCTGGGTGTGACGCTGGGTGTGACGCTGGGTGTGACGCTGGGTGTGACGCTGGGTGTGACGCTGGGTGTGACGCTGGGTGTGACGCTGGGTGTGACGCTGGGTGTGACGCTGGGTGTGACGCTGGGTGTGACGCTGGGTGTGACGCTGGGTGTGACGCTGGGTGTGACGCTGGGTGTGACGCTGGGTGTGACGCTGGGTGTGACGCTGGGTGTGACGCTGGGTGTGACGCTGGGTGTGACGCTGGGTGTGACGCTGGGTGTGACGCTGGGTGTGACGCTGGGTGTGACGCTGGGTGTGACGCTGGGTGTGACGCTGGGTGTGGCACTGGGTGTGGCACCGGGTGTGACACCGGGTGTGGCACTGGGTGGGGTCTCACCCCGCCCCGCCCCACCCAGAGCCCGAGGAGGAGATCATCGCTGAGGATTACGACGATGCCCACGTGGATTACGAGGCCTCGCGGCTCGAGGGGCTGATGCCGCCCTGGTACAAAGTCATCGACCCCACCTGGTGAGACCCCTCCCCACTGTGGGGTTATCGGGGCCGTGGGGTCCCCGTGGGGGCCGTGGGTCCCCCGTGGGGGCTGCAGGGACCCTCCAGGGCCCAAAGGGACCCCCCAGCCCCTGCTGCCCCCCCCAGCGGGCTGCCTTACTACTGGAACGTGGAGACCGACCTGGTGTCGTGGCTGTCCCCCAACGACCCCAACTCCGTCATCACCAAACCCGCCAAGAGGCTCAAGGGGAACCCAGGTGGGTCTGGGAGGGGTCCCCCAAAGCCCGAGAGGGAATCTGGGGCCCCTGTGGCGCTGCCTGAGCCCCGGCTGCCCCCACAGAGCCTGAGGAGCCCCCGGAGAGGAGCCACGAGAAGGAGGAGCCGCCGCGGGAGCGCCGCTTTCACCGGCGTGAGGAACTGGCGCCGTACCCCAAGAGCAAGAAGGGTATGTGGGGGGGTCCCCCGCGATTTCGGGGGGCTCTGAGTGTTCCAGGGGTCACCACCCCCCGAGCCTGGGCTGCACTGACCCCCTGTGCCCCCCCAGGCAGCCGCAAGGACGAGGAGCTGGACCCCATGGACCCCAGCGCTTACTCAGACGCACCTCGGTACGGGAGGGGATAAGGCAGGGGGGGTTTGGGGTGCCCCAGGTTTTGGGGGGCCCCAGTGACCCCTCTCACGGTGTCACGGCAGGGGGACGTGGTCCACGGGGCTCCCCAAACGCAACGAGGCCAAGACAGGCGCGGACACGACGGCGGCCGGGCCCCTGTTCCAGCAGCGGCCGTACCCCAGCCCCGGCGCCGTGCTCCGCGCCAACGCCGAGGCCTCGCGCGGCAAGGACTGAGACCCCCGGAATCGGGGTCCCCCCCATCCTCCGGGACCCCCCCAAACTGGCACTGTCTGCTCCAGGAACCTCCAGAGCTCAGGGGAGCCTCTCAGCCCCGAGCCTGGGCGAGCCCCTCGAATCTCGCTGGGCTCCCTCAAACCCCAGGAACCCCCAAAGTTCAGGGGCTCCCCCGGGGCCCCCCAAGCCTGAGGGGATTCCCTCAAACCAGGGGGGACCTTTCAATTCTGCCAAACACCAAGGGGTCCCTCAAATCCCCTGGAACACCCCCAAAACCTCAGAGGATCCCCCCAAACCCCTCCCAGACTTCTCACAAACCCCGAGGTCTCCCTGGGCTCCCACCTTTTGTTGCAATAAAGGCGCCGCAGCCCGCAGAGAGTGGAATGAAGGGGGGCTTTATTGGGGGGTCCTGGGGGGCTGCGTCACGGGGGGGCCGTGCCTTGCACACCCACGAGGGCTCTTGCACCAGTTTCAGTCCAAGAGACGGAGCCGGCGCAGCTCCTGGCTCGGGGGTCCCTCCCCCTGGCTCGGGGGTCCTTGCACACTCAAGGGGGTCCCCACTCCAGGCTCCTGCAGCTCTGGCTTGTCCCCCTCATCCCCCCACGAGGGTCTCCGGGCCCCCCCCCGGCGCAGCTGACAGGCCCGGGCGTAGGGAGGGGCGATGGGGGGGGCAGGGGGGGGCACGTAGGTGTAGGGCTTGTCTGGGTCCAGCTGTGGGGAGAGGGCCCAGTGCAGCCCAGTTTGGCCCAGTTTGGCCCAGTGCCTCCCCTGAACCCACCAAAGGTAAGCAGGGAATCCCCCCAGGGACCCCACTGCTCTCCCAGTGCCCCCCAGCACTGCCCCACACCACAAGGACCCCCCAGTCCCTCCCAGTCCATCCCAGTCCGTCCCAGTACCTGCAGGGGGTAGGTGCGGTCGGGGTCGTAGGCGCTCAGGTCCCCGCAGGCCACGAAGGGGACAATGACACGGGAGGGCCCCGAGAGCTGGGACAGGGCCAGGCCTGGGGGCGGCATTAAATGGGGGCTGGGGATTCCCCAGATTCCCCCTCGCCAAAATGGCAGGGACCCCACCCCTCAGAGACCCCAAAATCCTCTCAGGAACCCCAGAATCCCCCCAGGGACCCCTCAGTGACCCTCACCTGCCTCGGGGTCCAGCAGGGGGTTGTCCATGGTGGGCACGAAGCCCTCAGGGGGGCTGTAGCCACGGCACACCACAAAAGCCTCTGCAAGAAGAGGGGATTGTGGGGTGCCCCAAACTCAGGGGGGTCTCCCCAAAGCTGAGGGGGGTCCCCAGATATCGGGGAGGGGTCTCACCAATGCTGGAGTTGCGGCTGCTGCGGGGTTTGGCGCAGGTGACGTCGGGGAAGAAGAGGCGCAGTTGGGAGTAGAGCAGGGTCACATCCTTCCCCCGGAAAATCTGGGGGAGCCAGGGGGGTCAGCACCCCCTTTCTGGGGCCGGGGGGGCTCCGGAGCCCCCTCATTTTGGGGGGATCCCTCCATGGACTCACTTTAGCCACAAAGGTGCCACCTTTCTTCAACACATGGGTGGTGATGTTCAGCGCCTAAGGGAGGAGAGACCCCCCCAAAAGGGGGATTTGGGGGAGTCTGGGGGGGGTGACTTTTCCCTCAGGGGTTTGGGGGCTCCCCAGGAGGCTGAGGGGGGAATTTGAGGGGGCTGAACCACACTTACTGCCAGCAGCAGCTGGGCCTGGATGTACTCGTCCAGGTCGTGCAGCCCTGTTACTGTGGGGACAATTTGGGGGTCAGGGGGGCTTTGGGGGGTTCAGGCGTTTCCCCAGGCTCCAGCCCCCCGAACTCACCGTCAGGGGCCCCGTCACAGACCACCAGGTCGGCCGGGTGCCCCTCAAAGTGCCGCTGGATCTCCTGGGCTGTGGAGGCCTGGGGGGCACAGGGGGGAAACGGGGTCTGGGGGGGCAGAAATGGGGTCTGGGGAGGAGAAAAAATGGGGACTGGAGGGGGAATGTGGGGATCTGGGGGTACCTTGGGGAAGGAAAACGGCGTCTGAGGGAGCCCTTGGGTGGAAGAATTTGGGTCTGGGGGTCCTGGGGGGGAATAGGGCCTGGGGGGAAATGGGGATCGGGGGTGTTCTGGGTGGGAAGGGGAAAATGGGGTCTGGGGTATCTGGGGGGTGATTTGGGGTCTCAGGGTAGAAAATGGGGCCTGGAGGTTGGGAAGGGAAAATGAAGTCTGGGGGGGCCCCAGGGAGGAATATGGGGTTTGGGGGGAATCCAGGGGTATCTCAGGGGGCTGCAGGTTTTGGGAGGGTCTGCGGGAGCAGGGGGTCCCCACCTTGGTGATGTCCCCCTGGATCTGCAGCACCCCCGGGAGCGGCGCCATGGCCTGGAGATCCACGGCCACCACCTGGGCTGGGGACCCCTCGGAGCCCCTGGGGGTGTCAGGGGGGACCCTCAGTGCCCCTCCAGACCCCTGGGAAACCCCCCCTCCCAAACTGGGATTCCCAGTCCTCCCAGTTCACCCAGCCAGACCCCACAGTAGGATTCCCAGTGTCCCCAGTGGGGACCCCCATTCCTCCCAGTCCCCAGCCTACGATGCCCCCAGAGCAGCACCCCCACACCTCCCCAGTTTGGGACTCCCAGTGCCCCCAGTTTAGGACCCCCAGTGTCCCCAGTTTGGGACCCCCAGTGCCCCCAGTACCACCTGAGGTGCCGACTCAGCACTTGGCTCCAGCTCCCGGGGGCAGCACAAAGATCCACGGCGCGGCGGACCCCTGGGACCCCAATTACACCAGTTACACCAGTGACCCCTGGGACCCCAATGACCCCAGTGACCCC